GAGAAGATTGGAGGCTCTGAGTGGGCACAGGGGAGTTGCCAGGCTCTGCTGCCAGGGAAAGCAGAGCAGTGCCTGTGGCTGGCTGGGGATGGGGAGCAGCAATCTGCATCTCCTGGGGCAGCCTGGGCAGGGGCTGCAGCGTGGGGCTCACCCTTGGCACCAGGACATGGCCTGGGGCTGAGGGGACAGCTGGGGACAGGGGGGACAGGTCTAGGGCTGAGGGCACAGTTGGGGACAGGGGGGACAGGCCTGGGGCTGGGGGGACAGCTGGGGACAGGGGGGACAGGCCTGGGGCTGAGGGCACAGCTGGGGACAGGGCTGTGGAAATAGGAGTAGCTGGCACTGGCTCAGAACTGACTTCTGCCCTCCCTGCTTGCTGCCTGGGCACAGTGGGCAGGGCAGGTCCAGGTCCCACAGAGTTCCCAGCGGAGTAAGGGGGACTGGTTTTCACTGGGCTGCCCTGGCTGCTCGCAGTTGTCCCCACGCTGGTGGCCAGGGGGGCCATTCTGAGGTCACCCTGAGCAGGGGACAGCCCCTGTGCCCCGTCCCTGGGCAGCAGGACAAACACAGGCCTGACCAGCACCAGGCTGGAGGGGCTCAGGTGGGAGTGTGCCAGGCCCAGCACTGAAGAGTTGGGCGCTGCCAGGACCTGCTGGATGGAGAGCAGCCCCCCAAGGCTGGAATTGGGGAATCCTGGGGGCAGAGGGGAATCCTGCACGGGCTGCAGGCAGATCCTGCCCTCAGCGCTCTGCAGCACAAAGGACAGCAGTGGGGCCGAGGGCAGCAGGGCCAGGGGCTCCTCTCTGGCTGCACCAGGGGCTGTGCTGAAGTGGTGCCCCAGAGCCTGTGCCAGGGCTGCTGGCACCTCCCCGGGCACCCCTGGGCCAGGCTGGGCTGGGGGGGAGCCGGGGTGGCCTCGCTGGGCATGGGAGGAGGGCAGGGCAGAAATTGCCAGCTCAGGGGGGACAGGGCTGGGAACTGCCTGGGGCCTGTGGCTGGGGGCTCCAGAGGGGCTGGGGACAGCGCTGGCTGCTGGGGACAGGGCTGGAGAAACAGCTTTGGGGACAGCGCTGGCTGCTGGGGACAGGGCTGGAGCTTTGGGGACAGGGCTGGCTGCTGGGGACATTTGAGGAGGATCAATTTTGGAGATAGGGCTGGCTGCTGGGGACGCATCTGGAAAATCAATTCTGGGAACAGGGCTGGCTGCTGGGGACACTTGAGGAGAATCAGTTTTGGGGACAGGGCTGGCTGCTGGGGTCAGGGCTGGATAATCAATTTTGGGGACAGGGCTGGCTTCTGGGGTCAGTGGTAGAGAACCAGGTTTGCTCCTTCTCCCTGTGCTCACCTGCAGCATCCCAGCCAAGACTCCGTGGGGCACTGGAGGGGCAGAAGCTCCCTGGAGCTGGGAGCCAGAGCCTGGAGGTGAGGGTGAGGTCCTCGGGGTGTTGGGGCCCGTGGGCTGCATCCCAGCAGCAGCAGAGGCAGCAGGAGGCTGGAGCCTTGCTGGGACAGGATCCCAGGGCAGGAGGTCACCGTTCCCAAAGGTGGGCATGGCTGCAGAGTGGGCAGGAGTTGCTGCTTTGGGAGTTGGGGAAGGTGTGGGTGTGGAGATCCACAGCTGGGTTAATGAGGATGAGCTCGGAGGAGGCTGTGGGGTCCCAGGTGAGGGAGGTTTCCCAGGTTTCTCTGTCACTGCCCAGGGAGCAGCATCTCCTGGGAGTGCCATTTCCTGGGAGCTCCTGTTGCTCTCAGGAAGGTGCTCGGTGCAGTTGAGAGGCAAAGCGAGGGGCTGCTGTCCATCGCTGGTGCCAGCTTGGGATGGAGAGGGAAGGGATCCCTCAGGAGCTGGGGCTTCCACCCACAATGAAGAAGGGAGGCTGTGAGGAGCAGGCAGCTGGGCTGGGTGTTCTGAGCCATCTGTGACAGCTGAGCTTGAGTTCCTGCCTGTGCTGCCCGTGGTTTCCTGCTGCAGAGGGGAGAGCTGGCTGGTTCTGGAATAGTCTGAGCCCAGCTGCCCTGGGGCTGGCTGGGCTGGGCTGGCAGAAGCTGTGGCTCCAGCAGCCGAGCTCTGAGTGCTCCTCAGGCCAGCAGGTGCCACCCCTGCTGTGGGGTTGGGTTGGGATGGAGGGTTGGTGGCCATGGGCCCTTTCTTTGTGGGCAGCACCCCCGTGGGCAACACTCCTGTGAGCCCTTTCCCTGTGGGCACCATTTCCATGGGCAGCACTCCTGTGGGCAACACTCCCATGGGCCCTTTCCCTGTGGGCAGCATTCCCATGGGCAGCACTCCTCCTGTGGGCTCTTTCCCTGTGGGCAGCATCTCTGTGGGCAGCATTCCCATGGGCAGCACTCCTCCTGTGGGCTCTTTCCCTGTGGGCCCTTTCCCTGTGGGCACCATTCCTGTGGGCCCTTTTCCTGTGGGCAGCATCTCTGTGGGCAGCATTCCTGTGTTTCCTTTCCCCATGGGCACCATTCCTGTGGGCAGCACTCCCATGGGCCCTTTCCCCGTGGGCACCATTTCCATAGGCACCATTCCTGTGGGCCCTTCCCCCGTGTTCCCTTTCCCCGTGGGCAGCGTTCCCTCCCCTGCCCTTGCCAGAGCGATCCCAGCTCCTGGGGGAAGTGCAGACGCTGCCATTTCTCTCCTTGGAGGATGAAAGTCGAGTGCTGGGCTCAGAGGAGAAGCTTTAGGGCTCGGCAGCTTGCTGTGCTCCATGGCAGCAGGGGAAGGGAGAGCCGTGAGCTGGGGAGAGTCCTGTGCGTCAAAGGGCTGGGGCAGCCCTGAGCTGGCGCTGGGATGGCTGGGACCAGCCCCAGGAGCAGCTCCTGGTTCTCCCTGCAGGGCTGTGGGGGGCTGTGAGCCCTGTGTGGAGCTCCAGAAGCTTCCAGGAGATGAGAGTCCATGCTGGGCTTTGGGGGCTGCTGTGTGCAGCAGCTCAGCCCCTGCCAGGCTCCAGGGCAGCGGGGCTGTTCTGTTTGCAGCTTTCCCCGGCTGGGACACGGGCTCAGGGCTCGTTCCAGGGCTGGGAGCAGCTCCTGGGCTCTGCGAGGTGCCCCCAGCCCAGTCCCCCTCAGTGATGGGCTCGGGGCTGGGCTGGGCTGCTCCAGCAGGGCTCAGGGCCAGCGCCCCACTGCCAGCATGGCCACTTCTTGAGGCACCTGGGGACACAGGACAGCCCTTGGGATCTGCTGGAGTCAGCCCTGAGCTGCTCCAGCAGCTCCTCAGCATAGCTGAACTGGGCACTGCCAGTGCCAGTGCCAGTCCCAGTGCCAGATCCATTGCCATTCTTGGTCCCATTCCCAGTCCCATTTTCATTCCCATTCCCAATCCCATTCCCATTCCCAATTCCATTCAAATTCCCAGCCCAAATCCCATTCCCATTCCTGCTCCCATTCCCAGTCCCATATTCCCATTTCCAAACCCAGTTCCATTCCCATTTCCATTCCCATTTCCATTCCCAATCCCATTCAAATTTCCAGCTCCAATCCCCTTCCCACTCCCATTCCCATTCCAATTCCCAGTTCTATTCCCAGCCCTATTCCCATTCCCATTCCCATTCCCTCCTCCTCTGCTGCTGCCATTCAGCACCACCTGAAGCACCCAAGGCTTGAAGCAGCCAGAGAGGAGCCCTTGATTTCCAGAGAGGAATCCCCAAGGCTGGCCCAGGACAGGCAGGAAAGCAGCGAGAGCAGAGCCAGAGAGGCAGAAAAGCAGCAAAGCAGAAAAAGCACAGCCAGAGAGGCAGGAAAGCAGCAATAGCAGAGGCAGAAAAGCAGACAAGCAGCAGCTCTGTAGAGCAAACCAAAGCCCAGCACTCACCAGACAGTTCCAGCAGTGCAGCTGCCAGCAGGACCAAGAGGGGGAATTTTTCCTGCATGCCCTGAGCCATCCCAGCGAGGAATGTCCCAGCTGGCAGCAGCTCCCTGGGCTCGCTGCTGCCTCCCAGCAGCGGGCAGGTGCTGCTCTGCAGGGCAGCAGAGGGCTGGGTCACTTTATAAGAGCTTAGGCCACACACTGACCAATGACCTGGTCCAGGAAAAAAAACCCTGCGCCAATTGGAATCAATGGGTTTGAACAAAAGAACAGAGCTGGGCAGGTTTGCATCCAAAAGGTGGAAAATGGGACTGTGAACAGCAGAGCAGCCCTGGGGAAGGGCTGGGGGAGGATGTGGAGGGGTTTGGGTACAGCCAGGGGAGGGAACAGAGCTGGGAGTGCCCCTGCCAGGCTCAGGGCTCTGGGGGTGCCCACTTTGGAGAAAAGCAGGATCAGGAGAGACCTCCTGGCTCTCTGCAGCTCCCCAGGAGGACGTGGAGGGGAGGTGCTGAGTTCAAGCTGGGTATTAAGAAGCATTTTTTAGCCAAAAAGGGGGTAAAACACTGCAAGGGCTCCCTGAAGAGGGGATTTTGTACAATGCCCTGAACACACTTTGATTCTGCTCAGCCCTGGAGTGCTCAGGCAGCTGCACTGGGTGAAGCTGTGGGTCCATTTTAACTCAACTATTCTATAATTCTGAATTTTTTTTTTTTTTTTTTTTTTTTTTTTGCCAGTTCGTGGCAATAAAAACATCCACAGGGATCAGGCTGGATCCCAGGGAGGAACAGAAACCATAGTGAAACCAGCACAGAACTCAAACCTTTCTGAGAGCCCAGAGGCTCCCTGGGCACAATCACAGTTATATCCCTTTTGGTTTTTTTAGCCATAAAGCCCCCAAATAACTGTAAACATTCTCTGCAGGCAGCAAGCAGCCCCCAGCAGGAATCAGTGCCAGGCACACAAACCTGCAGCCAGGCTGAGAGAGGATCCTGACACTGCCCTGCCTGTGTGAGGGCACTGAACACCTGAGCAGGGGCAGATAAGGGCCCTAATGACAGCTGGGAACAACGATATTCCCCATCATTCAACAACACTCTCCATTATTCAACAATATTCCCCATTATTCAACAATATTCTTCATTATTTAACAATATTCTCAATTATTCAGCACTATTCTCCATTATTGAACAATATACTCATTATTGAACAATATTTTCCATTATTGAACAATATTCTCCATTATTGAACAATATTCTCATTATTTTGCAATATTCTCCATTATTCAACAACATTTACCATTATTTAACAATATTCTCGTTATTGAACAATATTTTCCCCACTGTCCAGGCTGTGCCAGGGGTCCAGCAGGAGCTCCCTGACCCCAGTGCCAGCCCAGTGTTTCTCACAAGGGGAAGCTGATCCAGCTGCTCTCTCTCTCTCTCTCTGGAAAAAGCTGCTGGATAATTTGGGGGGACAAAGTTCCCCCCAGAACTGCCACCCCCAGGTGCCAAGGAGAGGACCCAAAGAGCCATTTTATACTCAAACTGGGCTGGCCTGTGTTTATTCTGCACAGAAATGTCATAAATTCTTCTGTTTTCTGTGTTCAAAACCAACAAAAAAAAAAAAAAGCTACACTGTATTAATGGCCGTTTATTAAATTTATGCCAATTATTAAAGCAAAGGCAGCCTAATGCAAGGGGATATTTTGGTAACTGAGATAATAAATTAACTCCTTCCTCCTGATTTTGCTTAACTGGCTTCTGTGGGGTACCAAAACCACTCCAAAAAGCCGCTGAAAAGCTGATGTGCTTTGAATGAATTTTATTAAAGCAAAGAAAACTCAGGAGCAGTGAATGGAGGGCACTGGGGAGGGCTCTGAGGAGCTCAGCTGCTCTGCACGTATTTCATGGAGGAGTTCAGGATGGCCAGGCCATTGAGCTTCCTCAGCTGCTGCATGTGCCTGCAGAGACAACAGGGGGACAGCTGGTGACTGAAAATCAAAGTTTTAAACTCTCACTGCTCTGCCCAAGCTTGCAGGGGTGCTTAATGCTAGAAATAGTTCAATATATTCAATATAAAATAGTCAACATTTTATATATTATAAAAAATATAATTTATATGTTTTATATATTTATATAAATATAATTTATTCAATATAAAACAGAGTTTCTAAATAATAGTAATAGTAATAATAATAGAAATAATAATAACACATTATTAATTTCATGTTAACACATTAACATCCAAATTAATGCAGATACTCTTAATAAAGTTTCTAGGTTATTATTGCCCTCAGAAAGGCACATAAATGACATTCTACAAATAGGTTAATTTCAGATTAACAAAACTAAGAAAAGAAAGAGTTTCCCTTCTATCTCTGCTGTTTCAGACAAATCTCAGGGCTGATATTTTCTCTACTGCTCATTTGGGATTTACAGATTTTAACGGATCTGTAGATCCCAAGTGAGCAGCATTCCTTCCAGCACAGGACAATGAATTCCCTGAGAGATGTGGGGACAGAACTGGCACCTCAGGAGCCCTAAAGGGATTTGGGGACAGATCACAGGGAGGGATTCTGGCTGGAGAAAGGAATTAGAATGGAGTAATTATAAAAAATAACCTAACAACTCTTGGTTTGGCTTACCCTGGTTGCTTTCTTAGGGATAACAGAATAGGGAAATAAAAACTATAACAGAATAAAAATAACAGAATAACAGAAAATTGAAATAACAGAAAAGGGAAATTTAAAAAGTGGATTTAGGGGCTTACCTTGGCTCAGCCACGCAGAGCCTGCCCAGGGCGATGGCCGAGTTCTGCTGCACCGAGGTCCTGGCAGCGTCACCCCCAGCGTGCCTGAGCAGCAGCTGCACCGCCCCAGAGCCCAGCAGGGACGAGGCAGCCCCGGGCAGCAGCAGGCACTGGCTGAGGCAGAAAGCTGCATTGCCCACAGTCAGCTCATCCGCGGAGTGCAGCAGCCCCAGCAGCACCTGGAACCCTGCAAGGGGGGAAATCTGGGTTAGACACAGCCCCAGCTGCACCTGGAACCTTGAAAGGGGGGAAATCTGGGTTAGACACAGCCCCAGCAGCACCTGGAACCTTGAAAGGGGGGAAATCTGGGTTAGACACAGCCCCAGCTGCACCTGGAACCCTGAAAGGGGAAAATCTGGGTTAGACACAGCCCCAGCAGCACCTGGAACCCTGCAAGGGGGGAAATCTGGGTTAGACACAGCCCCAGCTGCACCTGGAACCTTGAAAGGGGGGAAATCTGGGTTAGACACAGCCAGAGCTGCACCTGGAACCCTGAAAGGGGAAAATCTGGGTTAGACACAGCCAGAGCTGCACCTGGAACCCTGAAAGGGGAAAATCTGGGTTAGACACAGCCCCAGCAGCACCTGGAACCCTGAAAGGGGAAAATCTGGGTTAGACACAGCCAGAGCTGCACCTGGAACCCTGAAAGGGGCAAATCTGGGTTAGACACAGCCCCAGCAGCACCTGGAACCCTGAAAGGGGAAAATCTGGGTTAGACACAGCCCCAGCAGCACCTGGAACCCTGAAAGGGGGGAAATCTGGGTTAGACACAGCCAGAGCTGCACCTGGAACCCTGAAAGGGGCAAATCTGGGTTAGACACAGCCCCAGCTGCACCTGGAACCCTGCAAGGGGAAATCTGGGTTAGACACAGCCCCAGCTGCACCTGGAACCCTGAAAGGGGCAAATCTGGGTTAGACACAGCCCCAGCAGCACCTGGAACCCTGCAAGGGGCAAATCTGGGTTAGACACAGCCCCAGCAGCACCTGGAACCCTGCAAGGGGGGAAATCTGGGTTAGACACAGCCCCAGCAGCACCTGGAACCTTGAAAGGGGGGAAATCTGGGTTAGACACAGCCAGAGCTGCACCTGGAACCCTGAAAGGGGAAAATCTGGGTTAGACACAGCCCCAGCTGCACCTGGAACCCTGAAAGGGGGGAAATCTGGGTTAGACACAGCCAGAGCTGCACCTGGAACCCTGCAAGGGGAAATCTGGGTTAGACACAGCCCCAGCAGCACCTGGAACCCTGCAAGGGGAAATCTGGGTTAGACACAGCCCCAGCTGCACCTGGAACCCTGAAAGGGGGGAAATCTGGGTTAGACACAGCCAGAGCTGCACCTGGAACCCTGCAGGATGGGAAATCTGGGTTAGACACAGCCAGAGCTGCACCTGGAACCCTGCAGGAGGGGAAATCTGGGTTAGACACAGCCAGAGCTGCACCTGGAACCCTGAAAGGGGAAAATCTGGGTTAGACACAGCCCCAGCAGCACCTGGAACCCTGAAAGGGGAAAATCTGGGTTAGACACAGCCCCAGCAGCACCTGGAACCCTGAAAGGGGGAAAATCTGGGTTAGACACAGCCCCAGCAGCACCTGGAACCCTGCAGGATGGGAAATCTGGGTTAGACACAGCCCCAGCAGCACCTGGAACCCTGCAGGAGGGGAATCTCTGTTAGACACAGCCAGAGATGCTCCAGCAGCACCTGAAACTCTGCAGGAGGGGAAATCTGGGTTAGAGACAGGCAGAGCTGCTCCAGCTGTGACTGGCGCTGTTTGCCTGGAAAAGCTGGGGAATGAGGGCATTTCCTGGCAATTTCAGCAGCCAGGAGCTGCCTCAGCTCCACTTTCCAGAGATCTGTCTCTCAGAGAGCTGAAGGTGCCACATTACAGAATCACAGAATCAAAGAATCACAGAATAATGAGGTTGGAAGAGACCTCTAAGATCATTGAGTCCAACCTATGCCCTAACACCTCAACTATAGCACCAAGTGCCATGTCCAGTGTTTGTTAAACACATCCAGAGATGGTGATTCCCCCACCTCCCTGGGAAGAGCATCCCAGTGCTTTATTATTAACTGCCTTAAAGCTGAGAGGCTGTTGTGGAGAGAACAGCTGGAAAAAATAACATAAAAAAAGCAGAGATGCTGTTGTGGAAAGAACAGCTGGAAAAAGGAACATAAGAAAAGCAGAGATGGTGTTGTGGAGAGAACAGCTGGGAAAAGGAACATAAAAAAAGCAGAGATGCTGTTGTGGAAAGAAGAGCTGGAAAAAGGAACATACAAAAGGCTTCCTGCGCATCCAGAGCTACCAAAGCTCAGCTGGGAGCTGCCCCTAAGGATGGCAGAGTTTGGGCTCTGACACCTGAGAGCAGCAGCAATATCCCAGACCAGAATCCTGAGATCCAGGATCACTGAACATGGGCTGGATAAATCCAGCCACGAGAGGGAGAAACAGCCCCGAGCCCTGGAAATCAGGGGTTATTTTAATAGGATAATCAGGGGTTATATTAATAGGAAATCACAAGTTTCACTTACTTTTATCCCCCTTCATCAGCTCTTCCTGAGCTCTCCTGCTGCTCTTGGTGCAGACAGAAAGGGTCTTTATGGCATAGCTGGATGTGAGCTGTCCCCCAACCTGAGGGGGCAAACACAGTGAGAAAATTAAAGAAGAATTAGAATTAAGAAATTTTAAAAATTTAAGAAGAAAGAATAAAAGAAAAAAAATAAAAGAAAAAAAATAAAGAAGAATTACAATTAAGAATTTAAAAAATGTAAGAAGAGAGAATAAAAGAAAAAATTAAAAGAAAAAAATTAAAGAAAAAAATAAGAATTAGAATTAAGAATTTTTAAAAATTTAAGAAGAAAGGAAAAAACAAATGAAAAAAAATTAAAGGAAAAAAAATTAAAGAATAATTAGAATTAAGGACTAAAAAAAAATTAAGAACAATTAAAGAAAAAAATTAAAATAAAAAATTAAACAAAAACATTAAAGAAGAATTAGAATTAAGAATTTAAAAAAAATTAAAATGAAGCCTGGGAGCACTGTGACAATGGCCAAGGATGCAGACACAGCCTCCAGAAAAAGGAGGATAAGGCCAGGGGGAGGTAGATTTGCTCAGGGGACAATGCAGGCAGGAATAAAGGAAGTTGGATTTACTTTCAAGAATTTGAGCATTTTCTTCACCACTCCTGCTCTCACCACCTCCTGCACCGCTGAGGGAGACGCAGGCAGGACACGGCTCAGCACTCCTGTGGCTCTCTAAACCAGGGGGAAAGAGAAGCAAAACCAAACTTTTATTGCTCCAGGCAGCTTAATTGGTTTGTTCCTGCATGGTAAAACTGAAATAATTAAAGTACTGGAAGGAGAAATTCACAGGAATTAAGGAAATCTCAGAACTGCAGGATCTAACAAAGAACAGCTTTAGGATGTGGCTTTTTTGGAAACTGAGCCCAGCAGAGCTTCAGCACAGAAAGAGAGGAGCCCAAACTGGAACCCTGGGTGTTCATTCAATAGAAAATAAAAATACAAACTCCTGGCAGAGAGCAGAGGCACTGAGAGAGGTAAAACAGCTCAGAAGGGACTGAGAGCCCCCACCTGCCCCTGCTGCAGGAGCTGCTCTCCCTGGAGTCCCACCCCATCCCAGCTGCAAAGGGAACACTGAACCCCCAAACTGCTCTGCCTGCTTTGCTTCTCCACTCATTTTTAACGGTTCCACACTGGAGTGGTTTCTAAGAGCTTCTATTAAGCAGATTTCAAGGGAGCCTTGAAAACCTCTTGCATCAAACCATATAAAAATGAATATAAAAGTGGTCTATTACTTTTTTATTGCTATTGGGAGCGTTTGAGGATTCAAAGTCTCCTGCACAGGGCAGAAGTTGGCTCTGAGGAGCTCAGGAGAGCCCCAAACCCAGCTTTTGTGGGTGACTCACTGTGACAATCCTTCCGTCCTGGTGGCTGAGCAGAGCCAGGCACTTGCCACTGATGGGCACAGCAAAGTCCTGGGAAACACAGGGGAAAATCAGGGGAAAATAGGGAAAACTCAGGGAAAACACAGGCGAAAATCAGAGGGAAATGGGGAAAACACAGGGGAAAATCAGGGGAAAAATGGGGAAAACTCAGGGGAAAATGGGGAAAAATGGGGGAAACTCAGGGAGAACACAGGTGAAAATCAGGGGAAACTCAGGGGGAAAATGGGGAAAACTCAGGGGAAAATGGGGAAACAACACAGGGAAAACTTAGGGGAAACAACACAGGGAAAACGCATGGAAAGATAATCTGTGCCCTTTACACTGTTTTTTCCTCATGGCTGTTTATATATTGGAGGTGGTGGCAGAAGAGAAAATCCCTTTTTCACTTCTCAGCCTACTTAAATTATCACCCACCCTTAAAAACAACCTGCAACACTGTAATTTATTTATTTTATTTTAAATTCCCAGGTGTTGCTTACCTGGATGGTGCCATTGGATTCCAGCAGCAGGTTCATCATCAGCCCCAGCAGTGCAAACACGCAGTGCTGGTACCCAGGGCTGGCATCGGGGCACCCAGCCTGGCACAGAGCAGCAAAATCAGCGCCCAGGGCAGGCCAGGCCCTTCCTGGGCAGCTCCAGGGCAGGGAAAGAGCTGGGACAGGAGGAGCAGAGCTGGGGGCACCCCGTGACACCAACCCGCGGGTGGGACCCAAAGCTGCACCCCCAAACCTGGGGTGCTTGGGGTGTCACAAAGATCCCTCAACCTTCAGGGCTTGGGGACTGCGCTCACAGCACAGCCTCACCTGGGAGGTGCTAGAATCCTGGAATTTGAAATTTCCTGTGCTGAAGAATTTTAAATGAGAATTTGAAAGTCTCTATGCTGAAGAAATTTAAACTAGAATTTTAAACGGGAATTTTAAACTCTCTCTGCTGAAGGATTTGCAAACTCTCTGTGCTGAAGAATTTTAAACAATATTGTTAAACTTCATGTGCTGAAGAATTTAAAACTAGAATTTTAAACTTTCTGTCCTGAAGAATTTTAAACAAGAATTTCAAACTTTCTGTGCTGAAGGACTTTAAACTAGAATTTGAAACTTTCTGTGCTGAAGAATTTCAAACTTTCTGTGCTGAAGAATTTTAAACTGCAATCTTAAACTTTCTGTGCTGAACAATTTAAAACTGTCTGTGCTGAAGAATTTTAAACAAGAATTTTTAATTTCAGTGCTGAAGAATTTGAAGCTTTCTATGCTGAAGAGCACAGAGCCACAAGGAAATCCTTTATCTGACCTGAGGCTGTATTCAAAGCTCCCAGCAGGACGGGACCATGTGAAGGGGCACAGCTGAGGGGGGCAGCTCTGAGACCCCCCCCAAAAATCCCATTTAGAGGGAAGGGCCCAGGGCTGGGAGGGGAGCAGACAGACAGACAGACAGACAGGGGAGGGCTGGGGATTTCCCTTACCAGCAGCTCCAGGCCGGCCTTCCAGCACTCCCTGCTCTGAGCCAGCTGTGCCCGCAGCCCAACATCTGCACAGAGCCTGCCCAGCACGGCCAGGGCACGGGCCAGGGCTGCCCAGGGCACCTGCCTGGCACTCACCTGCCTGGCACACACCTGCGAACACAGCAAGGTGAGGGAAATCAGCACAAACCAGCACACGGCACATCTGGGTGTGTGTGCCACCCCCCTGGCACTCCAGGAGCTCTCTGCTCAACACCAGCTGCCCAAAGTTTGCAGATTTCCCTCATTTTCACTTTAGCTTCAAGGCAAAACCAACACAAAGCACCAGCAAACAGCACATCTGGGTGTGTGCCACCCCTCTGGCAACTCCAGGAGGTCTCTGATAAACCCCAGATGCCCAAAGTTTGCAGGTTTCCATCATTTTCACTTTATCTTCAAGGCAGAATCAGCCCCAAAAAGCACTGTGTGTGTGCCACCTCTCTGGTCGTGGGGAATGGCACTCCAGGAGTTCTCTGCTCAACCCCAGGTGCCCAAAGTTTGCAGATTTCTCTCATTTTCACTTTATCTTCAAGACAAAATAAACACAAACCACCGGCAAACGGCACTGTGTGTGTGTGTGCCACCCCTGTGGCACTCCAGGCGCTCTCTGGTAAACCCCAGCTTCCCAAAGTTTGCAGATTTTCCTCATTTTCACTTTATCTTCAAGGCAGAATCAGCCCCAAACAACACATCTGGGTGTGCCACCCCCCTGGCACTCCAGGAGCTCTCTGGTGAACCCCAGCTGCCCAAGGTGTCACAGTCACATTTTCTGGAAAATTCCCTTTGCCCAGGATACACAAAAATAAACTGGAAATCCAAAACCAGATCTTCCCTACCAGCAGCTGGGTGAAAAAAGGTGAAACAGCCGTGGAGAACGTGGCCCGACACTGGGCTTGGAACCTGTTGGGGGATAAAAATCAAAACGTTTTAGTCACAAATCACAGCTAAAAGCAAGAGAAGAGCAATGGAAACCTCACAGCAGAGGTGGCCAACAGGCTGTCCCTGGCTCATTTCACACAGCTCACAGCACAGCTTCAGAGAAATGAATGAGGAATTGAAATAAATTACCTTTCCTCCCCACTTAAGTCAGACAGGATGTTCATGGCACTCTCAGCCCTTGCATCAGTGCACTTGACAAATGCCATCAAAATCTGCAGCCATCTGGTGTTAAAATAATGTAAAAAAATAACCAAAAATTTGTGTCAGCCTTGGTTTAATCATTACAGACAAAAATTCATAAATCATTAAATATCAAAATTTTATTTTTTAGGTTGTTGGTATTTGGAGCCACAGTTAAACCTGCCTTCTTTGAGCACCCTCTGAGATGTGGCTCATTCCTTTCACCTTTCCTCCCCAGGAAAATGAACAATGAGCACCCATTATTAGTCCAAAGCAGTAAATGGACATTTCTCAGAGGGAGGAAGCAGCAGGATAAGGGACAAAGGCAATGGGGTTTCCTCCCCACCCACTGAGCCATGGCAACACTAAATAACCCCAGTTATTAAATGAGGAGAGATTCTCAGCTGCAACCCAGGAGATTTTCAGGCACAGGGTGAGCTCTGCCTGAGTGCCACAGGGGTTTGGAGGAGGGGACTCCAAATTACAGGAATTCATTTAAAATCCTTTATTTCAGCCATCAGAACTTCCTGCAGCTCCACCCCACATATCCAACTCCCACTTCTGCCATTCCTGGCCTCAAAGGGCAGAAACCTCAGTGCCACTGTGTCCCCTCAGGAATTCACAGAATCACAGAATGACCAGGTTGGGAGAGACCTCAAAGAGCATCAAGTGCAACTCAGTCCCAACAAAACCTCACTGAAACCCTGGCACCCAGTGCCACATCCAGGCTTTGTTAAACACATCAGGGTTGGTGACTCCACCATTCCCAGTTCCTGGGCATTCCCAAAATTCACCGAAATTCACAGAAGTCACAGAATTCAGAGAATAGAATGACCAGGTTGGAAGAGACCTTCAAGACCATCAAGTCCAACCCATGCCTAGCACCTCAGCTAAACCCTGGCACCCAGTGCCACATCCAGCCTTGTTTTAAACACATCACGGATGGTGACTCCACCACCTCCCTGGGCAGAACATTCCAGAACTTTATCACCTTTCTGTAAAAAACTTTTCCCTGATATCCAGCCTGTATTTCCCTTGGCACAGCTCGAGGCTGAGTGCTCTGGCTCTGTCAGTCCCTGCAGACAGAGCCCAACCTTTGAGGGGCTGCAGAGCGCTGAGGGCACCCCGAGCCCCCTTCCCCTGAGCCCTGCCAGGACCTTTCCCTGCTGTCTCACCTGCTCAGGTCCTGCCTGCCCAGCAGCCTGCGGCCGCCCTCGTGCTCAGAGTAGAGGGAGATCAGGGCCAGGGTCTCCCTCTGGATCTGGGCAGTGCCACGGGACAGCAGCTCTGGCAGCTGGGCACCCACCTCGGGCTGGGCCAGCAGCACACGCTGGTTCTCCTCTGGAAAGGGACAGAAAATCTCTTCAATGTCACTCATTGGCTTCTTAATTTCATTTATTTTATTTTTTTTTCAGCATGAATATTTTATTTTAACAGCTGAGCCCCACAAGTCAACACACTATTCTGCATTTCCACTTAACTGTCGCAGACATCTTTTCATGTAAAATCCTTCCCTTAGGATTTTTTCCTCCTGAGAAGCTGAGAGGCCTCAGGGACAAAATGTAAGCAATGGTTATCTGCTGCTGTGGAATGCAACAGGTAGATTTTTGATTAGCCCATCTCAGATGTTTATAATTAATGGCCAATCAAGGCCCAGCTGTCTCCGAGACAGCTGCCTTTTGTTATCATTCTTTCTTTTCTATTCTTAGCTTAGCTAAGCTTCTGAGAACCTTTTCTTCTATTCTTTTAGTGTAGCTTTAATGTAATATATATCATTAAATAATAAATCAAGACTTCTGAAACATGGAGTCAGATCTACATCTCTTCCCTCATCCTAAGTCCCCTGTGAACACCGTCACACTTTACCACGCACCCCAACCCATTTCTCACCCTAAAATCAGAGGCAGGTACCTGCCCAAGCTCTAGTGATTGATAATTCTAAATAAATTCAGCTTTCTCTTCTGTAAAACTCTGCTTTTTGCAGGTGTAACTGCTTAAAGCAGAGAAAACTGTGCAAGGGGTGTTATCTCAGGAGCAGCAAAAATCACAGGGGATTTACTTCCCACCCCTTGTGTGGATTGGAAATGCTCAGAGATTGGAAATTCCATCCTGCACCCAACACCTCCTCTGACCTGCAAAATTTGGGTTCCAACCATGCAGGTGCTCTGGGAGAGGGGTGGCCATGCCCAGCCCCAGCCCAGAAATGCCAAATGAATCCCTCATTAATTAACAGGGATCAGGGGGATGCCAGGGCTTTACCATTGCCAGCACAGGCAGCTTGCCACAGGAGCAGAAGGGAAACGCAGAGCTCCTCCTCAGCAGGGCTTTTGCTCTCTGCACAGAAGGCCCTGGATGAGAAAAGTCAGCTTTGAACAGAGCAAAGGGTGGCTCAAACCATGGGGAATATCCAGGGAATGGGAATTTGGATGTGCTGCACCCCTCAGGTGCCCCTGCAGCCACCACCCAAAATACAGATGGACTAAAAAACCCAAAATATGGAACCTAAAAAGTGCCAGGGGATCCTGGTGCCCAAGCTCAGCTCCAGGGGCTGCAGCCAGAGCCTTCAGCTGCTCTTTCCCACTCAGATTTTTCTGCAGAGCTGCTCTCAGCACCAGGGATAGGATAACTGCCCAGACAAACAGACACAAACAGCAGCCCAGGGATTCTCCTCCTTCATCTGAGGCAGCCCTGTCTGTGCCACGGTCAGGTACAAGTGCCTCCATTCACCCACTGGAATCTGGCATTCCACCCTCCTCCGATCAGTCCGTCTGCATCCCAAGGGCTGATTCTGTTTCTTGAAAACAATATTGCATTTCCCAGGGCTGGAGCGGCCCTGGGAGAGCTCTCACCCTCTGACAGCCTCGCTGCTCAGGATACTGAAGCCATTGTTTGTCCTGAAGAACGTCTGCCCAGAGCCTGCAAGAGCACAGAAAGCTCAGCTGGGCCACAGCCAGGCAGGCTCCTGCTCTTCCTGGGCAGTGCTAAAAGAAAAGGTCACGGCAGCAGCTCTGGGCAAAAACATCCTGGGGAATGGGGGAAAATTCAGCAGGGAGTGAAGGAGGAGTGGTTCTGAAGCTGAAAATTGCTCTGGTTCGTGCCTGGTGCTTTTGGGGTCAAGTGAAATAAATATTATATTAATTATAGTAATAATATTAATTATAGTATTATATTATATTATATTATACTATATTATACATATTATATTATATTATATTGTATTGTATTATATTATATTATATTATATTATATTATATTATATTATATTAATCTTATCATATATTATATCATATTATATTGTATTATATTAATTATATTATTCAGGAAGGCTGAAACACAAAATTGGCTTTGTAACTCAACGGGCTTTAACAGAGAATTACAAATATCTATAAATTACAAATATTACAAATGACAAATATTACAAATATTTATGAATTACAAATGTTTATAAACAAACGAGACTCCAGTCCCCAGGGACTCTCAGCGGCTCAGCTACAGCATCAGTCTGATGCTAAAAAATGCTGTGAACACCCACTGGCCACGCTGAAATACCCACAGTGCCAGTTTTGTGTTTGAAATGCAGGAACAGTCACTGGGATCCTTTAAAACATGCTGCCCTGCCCTCCTCTGCCTGGGTTACACCTCCCAAAATTAACAACAATTAACAAAATGAACATTTTGCAGCAAACTCACAGGTGTTGACGGCTCCTGCCAGCAGGCTGATGGCCCCTGTGTAGTAGGGCAGGTCGTGGCCAGGGCTGCTGATCCTCTGCAGCAGCTCCTGGATGGACAGAGCAGCCACACTCCCGGCCTGGAGCTCCCTCTGTGCCCTCTGCTCCTGCCTCAGCCTCTGCTCCTCCAGCCTGGCCTCCTCCATGCACTCTGCCAGTGTCATATCACATCATATCATATCACATCATGTCATATCATATCATATCATATCATATCACATCATACCATATCATATCATATCATATCATATCATATTATATTACATTCTATCATATTATATTATATTCCATTCTATCATATTATAAATTAAATATTATATAATTACATACAATATGTATTTATATATAGAAATATATAATATAATATAATATAACATAACATAATATAATAATATAATATAATATAATATAATATAATATCATATAATATCATATAATATAATATCATATAAATACATTACATTTTAATGTAATGTAACATAATGTAATATTGTATTATATTATATTATATTATATTATATTATATTATATTATCTAATATATTTATGTATATAAATATATATAGTATATATTATATATAATTATACATTATATAATATATAATATGATATAATGTTATATTATATTACATTACATTACATTACCTTATATTACATTACATTACATTACATTACATTACATTACATTACATTATATTACATTACATTATATTTTATTATATTACATTACATTACAATGATATACCAAAACTACACTAAAGAAAAAGAAAGGAGACATCAGAAAGCCAGACAGGAATTATAATAAAAACCCGTGACTGACCAGAGAGTCTGATACAGCTGGACTGGGACTGGTGATTAATTAAAAACAATTCACACGTTTTGTAAACAATTCTCCAAATCACATCCCAGAGGAGCAAAGCAGGGAGAAGCTGAAGCCTCCCAGGAGAAGAAGAGGCAGGAGGTCACAGGGAAACCAAGTGTGGCAGGGAAACTCTGCTCCCTCTTCAGCAGAAAACAAGGGTGAAAAGAATATTTCTCACCTTTAAAGAGGTTTTCCTTCTGGGGATCAATCTGCAGCATCTTCTCATAGCACTGCCTGCACTGCAGGGAGAAAAAAGGGTGCTCAGTTCCAGCTGGGTGATATCAATGATATCAATGATATCCCAATCACACCCCAAAGGTTTTTGGGGCCACAGCCTTTAATAAAAGGGAAAAATGACATTTATCGGGACACAGATGATAAAACTCTCAAAAAACTATGATAAAACTCTCAGATATTCTCAGTTCCTACATCTGCCTGCTGTTGCAAACTCAAAGGGAATTTTCCAGTAAATTCCAAGGAGCAAAAAATCAGAGTTCCAGCAGAAAACAAAAACTGAGGCATGAAACTTTCCCTCTCATCCCCGAAAGCAGACAAAATGTGCCCCCAAAATTCACCCAGCTCACCTCAGAGAAGTGCTGCAGGGCCAGGTGAGCCTTCCCCATGAGGAAACAGGCTTTAAGGCAGTTCTTATTGCACTGAGGTAAACCAGAAATTAATATGAGTTATGTCTTTAGAACATTTCAGCCTTTCAGTATTTTTTCCCAGCACTCTGATTAATTATTGTTTATTAATTATTAAAATTCGGATTATTATTAGAGCTGCCCAAAGCAAAGATTAGGGTGTTTGTACCATTTATTAGTGGTGGCTAATGTTTTTATGCTGAATTAATGCCCCCAGGGAATCAAAAAACACAGGCTTGAAGTGAGGGTGGAAAGCAGGGTTTCCAAACTGTGAATATTTTCCTGTTCATTTGAGTAAAAAATATGGATTTCTGTAAATAATGCTGATTTTGAGGGTCTTTTCCACTTGGCAATTGTGGAATTACCTTTAATGCCCACTCACAGTCACTGATGGCTTTCTCATACTCATGGAGCTTCAGGTAGGCCTGAAATAAATAAAAAAAAGTCCAAGCAGAAGAATTAGAATCCTTCAAACAATTTCTGCTCGCTGTTGCACAAACACCGGCTAATTAAAAAGAATAAAACAAGGCTGCTGATTGGCCTGGCCATTGATTTGCAGGGTAATTTCCATTCTTAACTTGTCTGCCATCTCCTTGGATGTTCTAATTTAGAATCAGCTGAATAGAATTCTAAATTACACACAAACACAGAGTGCACAAGGCAAACAGAGACTGCAAGGCAAATATTTCACTCTGCAGTTATAGAAGGGATTCCTGGAAAAGCATTATTGTATATAACATAATATAATATAATATAATATAATATAATATAATATATACTATATATAATATATATAATATGTAATAGCTAATATATTACATATAATATACAATATATACTATATACTATATACTATATACTATATACTATATACTATATTATATATTATATATTATATATTATATATTATATATTATATATTATATATAGTATAATGGTAATATATACTGTTATTATATAGAATATAAATAATAATTATTTTATTTTATTTGTTATTAATAGTAAAAAATTCAGAGTATTTGAATCAAACTGGGAATTGGAAGGATTTTCCCCACCTGCTGTGCAGGAGCAGGGTCTCACCACCTCCAAGGGGTGTAACAGAACAATGGTTTGGGTTTTTTACCCTGGCACAGCCCCACAAAACCCAGCCAGAAGTGGCTGCTGCCCTGGCACTGACCTGGGCCCTGTTAGTGTAGAGCTCCTGCTTGTCCCTCAGCTTCTCCAGCCCCTCTGAGTATCTCTGGATGGCCAGGGCAAAGTCTCCTGCCCTGAAGGCTTCGTTGCCCTGCTCCTTCAGGGCTGAGAGCAGCACAGTGCATTGAGAACAGCAACAATCTCCACCAATATTTCATTTATTTCATCCCCCAGTGGGACTGGGCAGGCAGAGCCAGGCTCTCCTGCTGGGACAGCCCCAGGGTTCCAGCCCAGCCGTTTTTTCCATTATTTCCATTATTATTTACATTATTTACATTATTTCCATTATTATTTCCATTATTTCCCTGCAACCATTCCCCTTCCAGAGGGAGAACTGAGCGTTCCCCTCCCCTCCCTCCATCCCAAAGCAGCTCCACCGCCTGATACCGTGCAGAGCACCAGGAGCAGCAGCTCTGAGGAGCCCTGGGCCTGTCCCAGGGCTCCGGCAGGCCCGGCTGTGCCTCCCCCAGCCCCTGGCAGGCATTTCTGGGGCTGCTCTCAGCAGTCACCGTTTGCCAGCTTCTCATTCCTCCTCCTCCTCTGGGCTCGTTCCTTGGCATCCTTCTCCAAAGCTGCCAGGAAGCCATCTTCCAAACAGCAGGGTTGGTGGCATTTTAGAGGGGGAAAAAAAGAGCAAACTTCATTAAAACAGCGTAAAAACAATAATTCCCAGGGTGCTTGTGAGTCATTTCTCAATAAAAGCCAACACCAAGGGGCCGTTTCAGCAATTAAAGTGGAAGTGGCTGACGAGCTGTCACAGACAAGGATGATGCCACCCCTGAGGAGCTGCACACCTGCCTTGCTCCTCCCCAGGGCCAAACAAACAGGTTTGCTTTGAAATTCACAATAAAAAGTGTAAAGAGATGAGGAGCCAGAAGAGGACAAGGCTCCCACCTGTGGAAAACACAGCCACGGTGCTGAGACCTTGAGTGTGCCCCAAGAGCTGACTGAATTTTGGTTACAGACACAGGAAAAGGGCTGGAGTCAGCTCTTGCATGAGCTCCATCCCTGCTAGAGCTGGTTTGAGAGCTTGGTTTTATTTAGAGAGGAGCAGTGTCCTACCTGCATCTGCTGCCTGCACCCTTGGTGTGCCCTGGAAGAACAGAAACAGAAATTAAATGGTTTGGGAAAAGCCACAAATGGTTTGGGAAAGCCAGAAATGGTTTGGGAAAAGCCACAGCAGCATCAGGAATGTCTTTGTGCACCTGAAATCCCCAGCCTGACACACAGCAGGAGCACCAATTTGATATTTAATCAAAAAATGGTAAAGATTCGATAAATTCTGGCATTCCTGGGAAGTTCCCATCTGTGTGTTTAACCTGGACTGGGCCCAGCTTTAATTTCAGAGGGAAAAGCCCTTACAGAAGGGTTGATGAGCGTTCTGTTCACCGTGGTCCTGCACTCCTCCTCCTCCTCCTCCTCCTCCCTGCCGGCCCCTTGCTCTCGGAGCCTTTTCTCTGTCTCAGCGATGGCTTTCTCCTGCACTGCCGAGTCCGGGGACTTCAGCCCTTGCAGCAAATTGGCTAAAAAAATCACAGGAAAACCTCAAATAAAATATAGATACACACAGGACTTCAAACGTGGAAGGACCAGGAGTTCAGGTGGCTTTGAAGGCAGCGCTGGCCAGGATGGCTTTTACCATAAACCCACAGAATCCCTGAGTGGTTTGGGGTGGAAAAGACCCCAAAACCCACCCAGTCCCATGGGCAGGGACCTCTCCCATAGGCCGGGGCGCTCCAGCGTGACCTTGGGCACTCTGAATAAACAAAAACTTCCCCAGGGCGGATTTTGTGTCACTTTCAGGACAGAACCTGCAGTTTCTGCAAGCATTGATGAAATCCACGGAAGCAAGCGGCACTTTGAATAAACAGAAACTTTCCCACGGTGGATTCCTGTCACTTTCAGGACACAAACCTGCAGTTTCCGTCACTTTCAGGAGCCCCCTGCACTTTCTGCTATCATTAATGAAATCCACAGAAGCAAGCGGCTCTCAGCACCCCAAATAAAGGCGGGAGCCGCTCCGAGCCTCCGGCAAACACCGAACAAACGGAACCGGCCGGGGCACAGCGGCATTTGCCCCTTCCCCACCGATGTGCGGCCGCCCTCGGCCCCGCTCCTCCCCTTCCCTGGCTGTCCCCGCTTTGTCCCCGCGCTGTCCCCGCGCTGTTTCCGTGCTGTCCCCGCGCTGTCCCCGCGATGTCCCCGCGCCCCTCCGGTCACTCACTGACATCGTCCACGCGGCGCAGGAAGCGCTGGAAATCCTCCTCGGTGTCCTTGTCACGCAGCATGGCCGGGGGACACCGGGGGGACAGAGGGGGGACAGAGAGGGGACGCGGAAGGGACACAGACGGGACAAGAGGGGTAACCGAGGGGACACAGAGAGGACACAATGAGACACAGATGGGACACAGAGGGGACACCGAGGGGACACAAACAGGACACCGGAGGACACCGGAGGACCCCGAGGGGCAGCGGGAGCCGCCGGGGCCGGGCTCGAACCCGCGGCGCCGTTGCCAGGGGAACGCGCCCGACGCGGCACCAGCGGGTGGGCGTGGCGATGCAAGCGAAGGGCGGGGTTATGCAAATAAGAACGCTCGGTGTTATTCAAATTAACGGGCGTGGTTATTTAAATGAGCCTGTAATTTGGCGGGAAAGCGGCAGGTCCCGGCCGAATCCCGGGGTTATCCCGGCTGGGAAGGGGCTTTGGCAGCACCGAGCGCTCCCCGTGCCCCGTGCCCGCCTTGTCCCCAGCCCAGAGCTCTGGTGCCCCCTCCGGGCCATCCCGGGCACCTCCAGAGATGGGCACCTCACACCCCCCCGGGCAGCCCCTGCCCATGGTTCAACCTTTCCATGGAGGAATTCCTGCCCATGCCCAGCCTGAAGCTCGTCCCTATTTTTATGCCAGACTCGGATTATTTCCCTGTTGCGATCTCCTGAAAGGCTTCCCGGCTCTGTGCGAGGCGGCGGCGATGGAAGGAATCGGCCACGGCAGGGAGCCCGAGAACCGCGGAGCTGCGATGCCCGGGATGGCCATTCCCGGTAAAAACTGCCCGGGATGGCCATTCCCGGTACGTTCCCGACACAGGTTTATCCCGGGATGGCCATTCTCGGTACCCACTCAGCCCGGGATGGCCATTCCCGGTACAAACTCTGCCCGGGATGGCCATTCCCGGTACACAGCAATCCCGGGATGGCACATTCCGCACAGGGACAGGGACAGCTCAACCTGAGGCTGCTGCGGCTCCGGGAGCCTCCAGCCCAGCCGCATCCACTGCCCCGTTCCCCCATCCATCCTCATCAGCCGGAGATGGAATCCTGAGTGCCAGAGAGGTGCTGAGCTCCGCAGGCAGCCAGAGACCCCCATCCCTTCCACCCCTTGGCTGTAGGAACAGCCGGGATATCCCTTTTCCCTGCAGGAACAGCCAGGATATCCCTTTTCCTTGTAGGAAAACCCAGGATACCCTTTTTCTTTGTAGGAACAGCCACGACATCCCTTTTCCTTATAGGAACACCAAGGACATCCATTTTCCTTGTAGGAAAACCCAGGATAACCCCTTTTCCTTGTAGGAACACCAAGGATACTCCTTTTCCCCCTCATGCCCCAAACCCAAACAGTTCCTGTCCCTCCCCTCACTGCCATCAGCTCTGCCCACACCACCCTCCATCCCAAAATGATTTTTCCCCTCTAATGAAGCTGTTCCCAGCCCAGTGTCCAGTTAAAAACACCCACGAGGCCATAGCTGGGGCAGTGGGATGCTCGGGAATTTGGGGTTTATTTGTTACCACACAAAAGCTGGGGAACAAAGCCACACAGAGCAGTGAATGTGAACAGGGGAGAGGCACCTTTAGCCTCGGAATACTTCAAAAAGCCCTTAAAATGATGCTCTGAAGCTCATGCACGATATTCAGATACTGCTACCTGATAAAAGGCCAGACAATGGTGATTTCTAGAAGGGATGAGAGAAAGAGCACAAAAATCTCCCTCCAGCCCCCAGCCCCGCTCAGACTTACCCCAAATTCAGCCCGGGGGAAAAGGAGCCACACTCAGCCAAGGTGACACTGCCAGCCAGGTGCTATGGCCTTAACAGAGGGAGAGACGAGGGAAAATTAAAATTAAATGGAAATTAAAAGGTCTGAGGGTTGAGAAAACGGCCGAAGAAACACAAAGATCTAACAAAGGATCTGTCAGTGGTTTTGCCACTGAGCACAGCCCCAGCTCCAGGAGCAGGAAAATCCCTTTTCATTTCTTGGGGAGAGGAGGGAGGAACCCCTGAGCTCCTCCAGGCCCAAAGGGGGCAGAGGGGGCCAGGAAAGGCAGGGAGGGCACAGCTCCCACAGGGACCGGGGGATTGAGGGGCTCTGAACCCAGAAAGGGCAACCCCAAATCCCCAGGGGCAACCCCAACCCTCCCTCCAACCCCAATCAGGGACTTGGTGCTTCCCCACTTGGAAGAATTGGTGGTTTTTACATCAAATGGTTGGGGAATTATTTAAAAAACTCCTTTTCAGCTGAATGGGAACTTCTGTGTGAGAATCAACTCTGGTTTGCCCAATTGGTGAAGGTGAGACAACCCTCCCCTCCCCAAAACCCCCAGAGTAAAAAAATTAAAGTTGGGCATTTGGGCAATTTTTATCTAGGATTTAGAAAAAAAAAAAATCAAGACTTTAAAATGAATAAATTGAATGAATGAATTACATTCAAACCTCTTTAAGTTCAGGCTGGGCAGAGGTCACCTCTCACACCCAACACTCAATCACCCTTTCCACAGCCAGGCAACACAAAAGTGTCTTTTTTGGGGGAAAAATCTTCCCAGTAGCTGTGAAACTGCATTTCTGTGTTTGCTATCTCCAGGAAAGATGTAAATAAATGTGGAGGGATAGAGAAATAAACTTGCAATTGGTTTTGGTGGACTCAGGTGGGACGAGGAGCAGGACCAAAGAAGGGCAGACTGCAGGCATCAGCTTTTTTTTTTTTTTTTTTTTTTTTTTGTAGTTTTTATTTGAACACAGTATTCTGACAGAATGCAAAGTCAAAATCCTCAGTTAGTATCAGTATTTACACCAGTGAGAATGGGGATAAAGGTGGAGTCGATGTTTCACTCGGTAAAAAGATTTTTTGTTTTTTTCTTTTTTTAACAAGATAGAAGGCCCCCAAAAGTAGGGAATGCTGGGGAAGGATGGCCATGGAGGGGCTGAGAACAACTATCAAAACAGCCTGGTGGTGAAGGACGTGGGGTTTGAAGGCTCCATAGAAAAGTGTGAAAAGAAAACGCCACTCGGGAAGCTGACGGGCGGGATGCACTATTGTCACCGGTACGAATGGTGCAGCACGAGAGAGATGGGACAGCTCCTGTGACACTGGGGACAGCCAGGGGGCAGGGCCACCAACCCTGGGGTGGAGACATGGAACCACGGCAGTGTCACCAACCCTGGAGCAGCTATGGCAATGCCACCAACCCCAGGGATGGACATATGGAGCTGCCATGGCAGTGCCACTAACTCTGGAACAGCTATGGCAGTGCCACCAACCCCAGGGATGGACACATGGAACCACAGCAGTGCCACCAACATTGGGGATGGATACACAGAGCCATAGCAGTGCCACCAACCCTGGAACAGCTATGGCAGCGCCACCAACCCCGGGGATGGGCATACGGAGCAGCCACAGCAGTGCCACCAACCCTGGAGCAGCCACAGCAGTGCCACCACCCCAGGGATGGACATTTGGAACCACAGCAGTGCCACCAACCCTGGAGCAGCCGTGGCAGTGGGGAGGGGTCACTGAAGGAGCTGCTCCCTCCTGAGCTCGCTCCATCCACCCCAAACCACAGCTTTGGGATGGAGGAGACATTAAAGCCCAGCCAGTGCCACCCCCAGGCTGTCACTGGGTGTTGGGCGGGCTCTGAGCTGTCCCCTTTTGGGACAAACGCCAGCCCAGGTGGGGCAGCTCCCCCAGTGCCCACCTGGCAGGGGCTGCTGGAGGTCCCTGGGCAGGTTTGGGGCGTGGTTCCTACCAAAGCTGCTCACTGTGGGGGTTACAGCACGCACAGGTGACAAAAGCAGCCAGAACTGGGCACAGAAAGGGACAAAGCCACGGGGATGGAGGCACTGCTGCTGCCCAGCTGGGTTATGGACTCGTTTCTTTGGGGAAAAGGAAGGAATCCTGGGGGTCAGGGACACTGCTGTGGGGTGTCACCGGGCTGGCTTTGGGGACGAGGCTCCATCCTGCCCAAAATCTGTCAGGACGGGCGGGGCAGCGTCAGCTGCACCCCCTGAGCCCTCCCTGGGGTCCCGGGAGCTGAGCAAAACAAAACCAAAAACCCCACAGTGAGCACAGGACAGAGCACTGATCCTCACAGCTGGAATGGATCCTCACAGCTGGGATGGATCCTCACAGCTGGAATGGACAGAGCACTGCTCCCCACAGCTGGAATGGACACAGCACTGTCCCCCACAGCTGGAACGGATCCCCACAGCTGGAATGGACAGAGCACTGACCCTCACAGCTGGAATGGATCCCCACAGCTGGGATGGACACAGCACTGCCCCCCACATCTGGAATGCTGGATGCACTGGAACAGAGGGAACATTCCCAAGGAACACACAGACACAGCCTCCACACCCCTCCTCAGCTTGCTCCTCTCAGTTAAAGGCTTCTGCTCTTTCTAAGAGTTGTTCTCTTTCTCTTTTTTTTTGTTTTAAATTAATTTCCTGAATGTTCGTTTCTCATTTTTGTTTCTCAAATCTGAACTAGCGCTACACCTTCCACATCCAAACTATGTTGAAGCTTTTATTATTTCAATACTATGACAAAAAACACGGTTCACACTAAAATAGTCACGCACCCACAGTGCACAAGCTTGCAGATCTAAAGTAGAATTAAAAAAAAAAAAGAAAATAAAGGGGAAAATAAAATAAAATAAAAATTAAAAAAAAAAAAAGGAAACAATACCCAAAACCCCAACAGGAGGAACATCTCTATACAATGGGCTGGTCTCTCCCTACACTCCTCTGCCTTCCTTCTGCTCAAAGCTCCTTTTCACCCCCAAATCTCAGCGTTGCCCCACGATTCCTGGTAATAAATCCCATTAATCAGCTCTCCCACCCCAAATCTCAGTGCTGCTCCACAATTCCTGATAACAAACCCCACTGATCAGCTCCCCCATCCATAATTTGATTTTTCAGGTGCTGCCTCAGCCCTTGCCCAGAATTCCAGCCCCTGCTCCTGATTCCAGCTGGGTCCTGCTGGAGCTGGAGCTGCAGAAGGGTCTGGGGTCTGCCCAGCACCTGTGGGGAAAAGATCTCTGCTTTTGGGTTTTAGTTTTAGGGTCAGAGGACACGGTATTTACTGAAACTGGAACTGACTGAAATGGGGATTTTCTGAAATTGGAATTTTCTCAAATTGGTGTTTACTGAAATTGGGATT